GGCCTGCGGGGCCCTGGCCTGCCGGGCCCTGGCCTGCGGGGCCCTGGCCTGCGGGGCCCTGGCCGCGGGCCCGCAGCTTTCCTCGTAGGGCGTTTCAAAGTCCCCGAGAATTTCAAGACGCATCTTGCAATTAAAGGCTGCAGGAGCTGGACTGAAGTTCAGTTAACGCAGGGAAGGGCTAAAAGCAGCTTCGCCACTGCTCCCAGAGCAGCACAGGGAAGAAACTGTGTTGGTGGTGCTTTTGTTTGTTCTCCTAAGTCCCCCCAAGTGCTGTGGGTTCGGGCTAAGCAGCAGCGAGAGCAGCTGCTCGGAGGACTCCAGATGTGTGCACACTCCCTATGCTTTCTAGCAGATCCTCAAGGGTGTTTCTCCGCTCCAACATCATGGTTAGTTGCATCTAGACCAGAAGCAGCAAGAAGATGATGCTGCAATGTCTGTTGCTTTGAGTACTGCATGTGAGATCATTCAGTGTGCAGCTCATTATTAAGGGCTCGTTCTTACGGAGTTTAAACCAAACCACTACGTTCTCGAAATTCAAAAAAGGAAAAACAATATTTTCACTTTTATCCAACTTTAGTCTTCATTCAACTGCATCATCAGAACAAAAACAGCACTCTGCAAGTTAAATAGTTCTAGCAAGGACAGCGAGATTACTGGTTTGCATTAGGTGGTTCACTATGATCCCAGTAAGGAAGGCACACAGATTCTGAAGTTCACTTAAAATACCGTTTATTTGAGCCAACCCTGTAACGGAAAGGACAGTACAGATATTCTTACATTCCTTCAGGTGCTGGCAACCCTGAGCCGTGCAGCATCAGCCAGGTCTCTGATCATGGTGCAGCATTTCCATGGGCAGAATCTGTGTGACAAGTTGCAGTATTTTGGTCATTGAAGCTATTACAGGATTTTCTTACAAGAAAACAGCTCTTCACATTTTTTTCTACTGCCAGACAGAAAGGATGTTCACATGAGAACCTCCAGTTGTATTTTTAGACAAAGGGGAGGGCAGGCCAGGCAGGGGTGGGAGCTGCCCACAGGCTCCTGTGGTACAATCAAGCCAGGTAGATTAATCCCATGGCTGCAGGACAGGCAGTCCCACGTGGCTCTGGAGGCCAGGGTGGACGGGCAGTGCAGCACAAGAGATGCTGAGTAGGCACAGGCCTAATTACATGGATCACTAACCCTTGGTGTACAGTGGTCTTCTGGTCAGGATCACTGCTGATGAGCAGATAGCAAAGCCCACTGTAGGAATTTTTAATTTTACTTTTAATTCTCATATGTGATAATGTACAAAATTAATTTCTACACGTGGGAATTTGCAGACTAGACTCATCCACAGATTTCTGGTAGTTTTTTTCTTTAGTGTCTTCTCTAGGTCATGGCAAGTAGCAAAAACATTCTAATAATGCAGAGATGTCATAGTCTCTCCATAGCACACTGAATAGTTAAACTCCTTACTCACCAGCCATATCCTAGCAGCCTTTCCCCCCTCACTTACCTGAATCTTTTTTCTTTCCATACTTTAATCAAGACTTTGTAGTCTAAATGTAATTATTTATGCTCTTTCTTCAAGGTGGATGGTGTGAACTATACAATTAACATCAAAGATTAATTGGATTAAACTGCCTGAAGAACCTGATTTGCTAACATTATAGCTGTTAATATTAACATAAACATCTACCATCTTGAAATACATTAGCATTTCTCTAATTTCACTGCAACTATTCCACTTAATGAGGAAGGAGACACTTTTGTATAAGCAGATAACCGAACAAACTATTTTGTTTGGTAGCTGAGCAACTACCAAGTCACCAGTAAATACAGATCATCCCTATTACCAGTGCATTAAAATACAATTCAGTCACTGAGGAACAGCAATTAACATAGCTCACACGAGTCTCCTCATGGTGGGGGCTTAATTTCATTTTTGAACAGAGTTCAGTGACTTTTAGCAGCTTATTAAAAAAAAAAAAAAAAAAAAAAGAGTAGAAAAATAAAATTAAAGCAAAATGCCCACAAAGTAAAAGAACCTGTGTGCTTCTCTTCATTCTTTTTGCTGGCTTCTCTTTTTCCTGATTGAAATGACATGCTAAAATCCTTTGCAAGAATAGGAGTTTTTTTCCACTAAGAATACAAATAGTTCAATTCAGGTCAATAGGTTAATAGTTCATGCTTAAGTGTTCATTACAATGAGTAGTTTATATAAGCCTCAGCTACTCCAGCTTTTGGCAGGTTAATCAAAAGTATACTTACAAGTTATGCATAAAGCTAGTAAATTATTTTACATAGACATGCTCATATTTAAAATAGTTTTTATAGACCTGAACTAATTGAGCAAAAGCAAATTGAAGTTCATATGCAGACATCAACTTATTGTTAAACAAAATCTTAGGGTTTTTTTCTACTTACCCAAACTAGCATTAACAAAGTTACAGGACTAGCTGCATCCACACCCAAAATGTGAGTTATTTTAAGCAACTCTTCTGTTTTAATGTGCTAATCTGATTCTTTGTGTATCAAAGACTTTACATTTTAAACCTCTGAAGATAAGATTGACATATAATCCACAGAACATTAATTAACAGTTATACTTAACCATTACGTCCTTGACAGCACTACATGAACTCTAAATTGCTTGTTTGGAACAAAAGTTCTGATGCAACTTCACATACTTCTGCTTTTCTTGAAAGCTGTCTGAGATCTCAGCAACTCTATTTTAAATCTGTGCTTATTATAACTTTGTTTGCACACCACAGTTAAAAACATGACTGAAGGGTGGTGAGGATATCAGGGAGGGAAAACTGGCTCACTGTCTCACAGAGTGACTCACTTTCAGGAAGATGCTTCAGACTCTGCTGAGGCTCTTGCATTAAGAGGTCAATCACTTTTCCTCCTCCCTACAGAAGCTTAATTATTCCTTGTTAGCTAAATAAGTATTTGTTAGGGAAGTCCTAACTAGAGGAAAGATTACGCATTTGAACTGTTACTAATTTTGTTTTATGCCACGGAGTCAGTTAAACTAACAGTCATCAAGGAAAGAATTCAGACATAGCAGCAGCTCAGTTTTCTGCTCATTGTTAGCCCAGAGAAAATCTTCCTGAACTGTGCCTAGACCAGTCATTTTCATTCTCCACTGGAAAACTAAATTGAACCAAACAGAAACTGAAGACTATTAAGCCAACTTTGTAGTAAAACTGTGTTGCCAGTATCTGCCATTTCACGACAATGTTTCAATAGAAAATAAAACTAAAGCAAAAGCCAATATTTGTGACCATTGTGATAGTTTCTGAAGTCTAGTCCCACCATAAAACATTTAGAGGAAGCACTGGGAGACAGCATAAAAACCAGTAAGTATATTTGACATTACACTGTAGCCAAATCCTCAAGCATATTGTTTTTTTGTCAATTAAATACTTTAAAACCTTTTCTCTGTGGCCTTATATACATGCCTCAAACATTCTCACTGAAACTATGTAGAAATTGTTTATTTTAAATGAAATAGGAGGCAGCATTAGATGCTCAATCAGAATGGCAACTCAGTGTCTCCTACAAACATAGAAGTTAATTTCCCATTCACTTCTAAGACTTCTAGAGTAATCTTTAAAACAATTCCAGCAAAGCACACCTACTTTTCTACAGTTTTTTTTGCTATGTATAGACACATACGTAACACATGCATTTCTATTTAAACTTGACAAAAGAAGCATAATGAAGTGGTAAAACACACAGCATTAAGTTACCGTTTGGTCCCTCTCTGGTAATACGTCTTACTCTACACTTGTAGCTGATAAGGTGTTTCTCACCTGGTTACAGTACCCACCATAGAACAGAATACCACAAATACCTTATTTGCAGAAAGGAAGAGGAAATTAAATCCCAGGTGTATAACTGCAGTAACTATCTGATACCATGTTTTGGGATGGAAACTGAAGAAATAAATGGTCAATGGAAAAAGCCATTTAACAAGGGTTAGTGTAACAGCCTGTAAATTAATATTGTCTCAGTGTCTACAAGACCAAAAGATTAAAATCCCATTTGCTAAGGCATGAAACAAATATATGGAGAGATTCCACCCTAAATATCTTAACTCAAGTTGCTTAGAGTAAAAGGAGGCAAGAGGAAACGGCTGCAGAGGTAGAAAGACCACCCAAGATCAGTGGCTGGTGAGACTACCAAAGGTTGGGAATAGGAGGTATTTCTCCTTGTCCCCCAACCCTATGTCCTGCAGAACACCTTGCCTAGTCACTAGTGGTGCATTTTGCAAATCAAGAGATGAACAAAAACTACTCCATCAGCATGAGGATGGAACGTGCAGGATCCTTTCCCATGCATAAATGGTAATTCAGTAACAGCAGCAGGTTTTATGTCCAGTAGCCCACCTATCTGGCAGTAACCCATGGGATACACAGAAGATAATTAATTAGAATTAGGCCAGTTATTCTGCTTTCATCTTGAGACAGAGAAATCAATTTAGACCAGCATGATTATTCAGATGTCATGTTAAATATTGATGTTGAATATTGGAAGGAAGGCAAGTGACTGGCAAAATGAAGATCTTTGAAACCAATTCTTCAGATTTTTCAAGACTATCTGGAATCTCAGATAATTTTTAAGTGTGTACAACCTCAGGTCTCTGAGCAACATGTTAAACAGTAATAAACTGCTTCCTGTTTAATTAGGCACAGCAATATTCTCTCCTTAGAGCACTTCCCTTTCCCCTACCCCAATCCCATTACATTTTGGGAAGATAGCATCTGTTGAAACAGAAGTGGGACCTTCATTTCCTGTGTGCTGTCCTGCCCAATCGCTGCTGCTTCCTGCTTTCTCGCTGCAGCGTTTCTGGAGACAGAGCCCATGTGTCAGCTCAGCAGCCTCCAATGGGGGGAGCTTGCAGCTCACTTTCAGATAGTTTCCATGGTTCACTGAAAGAAGGTTCAGGCAAGGAACAGATCTGCTTTTAGCTCATGTTGGCCATTGCTTGTGCTACTGTAGCACGAGCTACAGTAGTGATAGTCATAGCTAGCACAAATGCACAGCTTATTAAGCGTGCATACGTTTATATATCAAATCACATATATGATGAAACAATGAGAATGCCTTCTCCAAGTCTAAAGAATTCAGGGAGTGGGTGTGGGTGAAAAAATAAAAGTCAACACTTACCTGCACTACTGCTGGTAAGAATGCTCAATCACTACTGCAGAACAAGAAAGCGATTCTAACAATCAGGGTCGTGTATCATACTAGCACACAAGAGCTTCAAAGACAAAAATGTAGTGTACAGTTAACTGTTTCATTCAGCAGGTGCTGCTGGAGACTACAAAACATGAAAGGCAAGATCAAGCTGGTCTTCAAGAAGTCAGGGACTCTGATCAAGAGTTAAGGTACTATGCTACTGCTGTGTTGGAAAATGAAGCAAGATGAAATAATGAGAAAAATCATTGAAGTTAAACATTAAATGCAGGTATTTTAAACAACACAATTGCAACCCTAATGCTGACTTCTTAAACTGAGATGAAGCTTTTTTCTTGACATGCTGAAGCTCATCTTGTCACACCATGCTTGGCAGAATTTCTTCAGCTGACATCTGACTTCCTGTATTTTTCAAGAGGCTAACAGGAAAGGTTGTCTACCTGGACTTCCATAAGGCCTTTGCCACCATCTCCCGTAGCATTCTGATAATAAAACTGGCTGCTCATGGCTTGGATGGATGTACGCTCTGCTGGATAAAACACCAGCTGGATGGCCAGGCCCAGAAAGTGGTAGTGAACAGAGGTAAATCCAGCTGGTGGCCAGTCACAAGTGGGGTTCCTCAGGGGTCAGTGTTGGGCCCACTTTTGTTTAACATCAATGATCTCAAAGAGGAGATAGAATGCACCCTCAGAAAGTTTGCAAACTACACCAAGTTGGGAAGGAGTATAGGGAGGCTCTACAGAGAGACTTGGACAGACTGGATCGATGGGCAGAGGTCAACTGTCTAAAGTTCAACAAGGCCAAGTACCAGGTCCTGCACTTGGGTCACAGCAAGCCCATGCAATGCTACAGGCTTGGGGAAGTGGCTGGAAAGCTGCCCGGCAGAGAGGGACCGGGGGATTCTGGTCGATAGGCAGCTGAATATGAGCCTGCAGTGTGCCCAGGTGGCCAGGAAGACCAATGGCACCCTGGCCTGTATTAGAAATGGTGTGGCAAGCTGGACCAGGGAGGTGATTGTTCCTCTGTGCTTGGCATGGGTGAGGCCACACCTCAAATACTGTGTCCAGTTTTGGGCATCTCACTACAAGAAAGACATTGAGGTGCTGGAGCGGGTGCAGAGAAGGGCAACAAAGCTGGTAAATGGCCTTGAGAACAAGACTTACGAGGAGTGGCTGAGGGAACTGGGGCTGTTTAGTCTGAAGAAAAGGAGGCTGAGGGGAGACCTCATCACCCTGTACAACTGCCTGAAAGGACATTGTAAAGAGGTAAGTGCTGGTGTCTCCTCACAAGTAACTGATGATTGGACAAGAGGAAATGGCCGGTTTAGTCTAGACATTAGGAAGAACTTTTTTCACTGAAAGGGTTGTCATACACTGGAACATGCTGCCTAGGGATGTGGTTGAGTCACCATCCCTGGATGCGTTTTCTAGAGGTGGTGCTTGGGAACACGGCTTAATGCTGGACTTGGTAGAGGGGGATTAACGGTTGGAGTCGATCTTAAAGGTCTTTTCCAGCCTAAGTGATTTGTTGATTCTATGGTGGCTTGCTTAGTTACATACAAATTTTGCCCAAAGGTTGTTTATGCAACAAATTCATAAGGTACCAAAATTACTTTAAGGTTGTTTCTATTTAAAAAAGAAAAACCCTTCAATGTCAGTAAACAATGTCTCACTCAACAAGAATCTGGATCATGATTCACTGAATGCTGGGAGTATTCATGGGAAGCCTTAACACACACTTTCCCCATTCTCTGCCTCTTCCCATTGGCCTAAGAAAAGCTTACAAAAATTTGAGATATTTCATCATTCTTACTGCTCCTACAAACTACTTAAAAACTCCAAAGCTCCTTTTTTAAACAAACATTCTCCTTGGCACACAGAAGACAATTAAAACATCTAAAGCCACTTCAGTTGCATAGTTTAGGCTGGGCATCCATTCCATGGCAGATACAAAACCTTTGACCAGCAACAAAATAGAATCATAGAATAATTTGGGTTTGAAAAAACCTTTACAAGCATTAAGTCCAACCATTAATCGAGCACTGGTAAATCCACCACTGAACGACATCCCTAAGCACCAAATTAAGTCTTTTAAATACCTCTGGTGTGGTGACTCAACCACTTCCCTGGGCAGCCTGTTCCAGTGCTTGACAACCCTTTGAGTGAAGAAATTTTTCCTAGTATCATCTAAACCTTCCCTAGCTCAACTTGAGGCCATTTCCTCTTGTTCTGTTGCTTGAGAGAATAGACAAGCACCCATCTCACTACAACTTCCTTTCAGGTGGTTGTAGAGACTAGTTAAGTTCCCCCCTCAGCCTCTTTTCTCCAGACTAAACAACCCCAGAACCCTTAGCCACTCTTCCTAAACCTTGTGCTCTATACCCTTCACCAGCCTTGTTGCTTTTCTGTGGACACGCTCCAGCACCTCAGTGTCCTTCTTGTAGTGAGGGGCCCAGAACTGAACACAACATTCAAGGTGCGACCTCACCAGTGCTGAGTACAGGGGGACAATCACTTTCCTTCTGCTGGCCACTCTACTCCTGATACAACCCAGGATGCTTTTGGCCTTCATTGGCCACCTGGGCACACTGCTGGCTCATATTCAGCCACTGTCAACCCCCATCATCCTTTTCCAAGCTTGGAGCGTTGTTGTGATCCAAATGCAGGACCCAGCAAGGAGCCTCATTTAGCCTCAATACAATTGGCCTCTGCCATCAATCCAGCCTATCCAGATCCCTCTGTAGAACCTTCCTACCCTCAAGCAAATCAACTTGGTATGATCTGCAAACTTGTTGAGGATTCCCCCGATCCCCATGTCCAGACATGTAAGAAAACTGGCCCCAAAACTAAGCCCTGGGAAACGCCACTTGTGACTGACCATCCACTCCTTGGGCCCAGCCATCCAGCCAGTTTTTTTACCTAGCAGAGTGCGCCTTTACAAGTCTACACAGCTACTGTGTACAGCTTGTTTGCACAATACCTGTACTGTTACAAGTCTCTGAAAACAAGTTATCTAAGAGCACATAACTATCATAGATAGATCAAATTTATTTACGCTATATTGGGGAACTGTTTGTTGATCCCCATCAACTGATACGTATGACTGTTTAGAAGTATGCTTTAAGAGGTCATATTTAGTGTAGAGGACCAACAAAACCATGAGATTGTAAATTCTCTCACAAAAAAAATACAGGACTGTCATATAAAGCAAAATCCTAAAGGTACTCCAGTCTATCTGTTTTTACTGATGAGAACTGCATATTCTGAGAATAAAGCTAAACCAAGTCTCTGCATTTCACAGTCAAAAGACCTCTTAAAATACTTAGCGGTTTTCTTTCATTAATTTCAAAGTTAAACTTCTGACAGTCCATTCAATTCAGTTACAGCTTCTCTGATGGCCACCTGTCACTCTTCAATACAAGCAATGTAAAAGCTTTCCCAAAAGACTAATCTACTAGACCTTTATTAATGACTGTACCTCTTTTTTGCATGAGGTAGAATACATATGTGTAAGTATTTTGCATCCATGCCATAGAACATGCTGTTACTGTCTTTCATAGACTATTCCAATTCCTCCTGCTGTTTTCTTCCCAACTTCTAAATAAGCAGTTCTCTTCCCATTCTCAGCAATTCATGTTTTTCCACCTTACCTCAGACTTCTGTCTTCATATAGTCTCATATAGTCCTCTATCTTCACAGTCACGAGTTCCACTTCAAATCTTCCCCAAGCTTCATCTTTTCAGTGTGCAGTGACATTTCTAAAGCTGTAGAGACAGACTGCTATAGATACTGCAACACAGACTGTGGTGCTTCTCTCCTAACATAACTATCAGCAAGTATGTTATCTCAGTCCTACTGTCATGAGAGGGAACCACAAGCATTAGGCAGCAGCGGGAAGCAGATCTAATCAGGACTTGCCATAGCATATTCCTGACTCAGTATTTTATTTCCACAACTATAGAGCTAAATAATTGTTAGACAATATTAAACAAAACTTTTAACTTTAATATTCAAATTCAACACTAGTAAGAACAAACAGAGCACAAATAGGAACCATTGTTTAAACTAAAATTAAGAGAAAAGCCAGTAACTACAACAGTTCTATTTTTTTTTAGCAACATGTGTCAGCCTAGGTCCAATATCAGTACAGGTTCTGACAGCCATATTCTGTTTTTTGGGACTTAAAATAGTTTAGCTTTGTCTGTTGGCATTGCAGACTGCAGTTTCAGTATAGTATACTATAAACACAATCAAAATTATGTACATGAACAATGAAGAACAGTCTGAACACTTATACTAAACAATTATTTACAAGTACTCCAACATAGAAAAAAATATACAATAGCCTCAAAAATAGACAACTGAAGAGAATAAACATTTAGAGAACCTTATTAGAAAGAATTACAAAACATCAATAGCCAAGACATTAACGATTGCACTACACTAATACAGAGTCAAAATATTACATTGGTGCATTATTTTACAATGCACTAGCTTTGAAAGAAAAAGCTGCCTTCACTAAAATGCAGCTTAGATTTGTTTCACGTAATTGTTTTAACAAGAAGCCTATTAACACAATAATGATTGTTTTAATGCTACAGTTTACAGCAAGGACAACAAACTAAAAATAGCAGCAGATCCATATGGCACTTAATTCCACAGGTTTCTAAGCTGTGGTTTATGCAATGCCTACAAAGTGCTCCCAGTTGAATATACAAATAAAATTCACAAAAGAAGTCTACCTGACATCAGGTACGTTTGAGTGTAGTTGGCCTTAAAGCCTGTCTTTCAAAATGTATTCCCCTCTGCTCCAAAAAATTCAGTAACTATCAAAGCAAGGCCTCCTCCCTCCCTTTTAAGGATTAGGGCTATTACTTCTTACTACAATGCCATAACACTACAAAGCAGCACACCACTATAGTGGTTAACCCTGGGACCATGTAACATTTAACAGTGTAACTGAAAGGCTTATGGATTAACATCCAGGATTTTTTATAGACAAGATAGTAACTACTGAGTCCATTAACTCAAATGGATAATACAGCTAATTAGCTGTACTGTACAAGTAAAAACCCAGAAACAAATCGTGTAAAACTAGGATCACTGATCACACACAGGACAAGAAACCAGGAATTGAATGCTTCCTTCAATTCCTTAGGCTTCAGTCCAGTAGAGATGCTATAGTCATCCTCAGTAGTTCTTTTAGACTTCATAGTTAGTATATAGTAAGACTAACTGAGCGGTTCATTTTCTTTCCAATGAGACGAGACGGTCTATTTTGTGTTGTAGATCTCGTTGTCATTCTGTCAGTGAACAGTGCTCGCTCCTCAGCTGCAGCCTTTGCCATCTGTGCTTTCTTCAGCTCTCTGCAAGACATTCACAGTCACACACAACGCATCAGGGTAAGAACTACAGGCATATCACAGTGGGAGTATTTCAGATTAATCACAGCAGTTCAGAATTTAAGACCTGCTGTCAATTTAGGTCATACTAAGGCCATTATCATTCACATCTACCTATTTACAACCCAGAGCACAGAAGTGGGATGTTCATTACATGTCTGAATAGCATTTCTTTTGAACAAGGGAAGGAAATGACAAATTCACACAGCTCAGTTGAATTCTGAAATCCACCAGCTCAACACTTCATCTCATACACCAATTACCAGAACACGGTAGAACACTCTTTACTTTCTAAGAGGTTTGTTCAACTGCAGCATTCAGCCACAACTGAACTTCTGCAAAGAACACAGACAAGCAGACACATACTTAAGATGAACACAGACTAGTGTAAATCCTTTTCCTTTTGTATACCCACATGAAAAAGCTTATCTCCACCTAAATCTTTTTGCCTCACATAAAAATATGAGCTTGAAACTGCAAGGCTGAGTCAATGAAGGCAGCACAGGCCACTGTCCCTGTTCCAAGATTCTGCCAATTATTTTGCTTCAGAGAATTACCAATATTCAATCTGTGGACAAAGTTAATACAACTCAGAACAAAACTATGAAATATTCTGACTAAAGAGCAAAGTTATCTTTATCAAGTTTCCCCACACACCCCTTTTCTCCTTTCCTTAAATGCCAACATATGGGTAACTAAGGATTCCCTCCATACTCTTTTCCTATCCCAATTATCCCTAAAGGATTTTTCTCTACCTTAAGAACTAGTATTTGTAATTTCATTTCACATCTAGACTCCAAAGCAAAATCAAATTTTACAAGCTTGTTCCATATTGTTGTAGGTGTACTCAGTTTGAAGTTACATGTTTTAGTTTAACAAGCTACTTATTAGTATTTAGCTTGATTCTATGATTAATACTTTGTAAGCCAATGTACTTAGCTTGATACTATGATTAATACTTTGTAAGCCAAAGTAGTATTAACTAACACCCATGCCCCATCTAATCCTCCCCATATTATCAGTGTCAGTTCACTGCAAGAGAAGGCAATCAGTACTCAGGCATCTTCCCTAAATACTGAATGTCAGTCACAAATGCACACACGTGTACATCTACCCACTGTTCCGTTACTAAGGAATTAAGTTTCACAATATGCTCCCATTCTTCCCTAGAAATCTAATCTTGAATTCTTCCTTCCTTTGAAGAAAACAAACCAGTAGAAAAGCTGAGTGTCCTTACAAGGATTCCTTTCACTGATGATAACTTACATACACAAGTGATATATTTAATGAGTCAAATGCAGGTATGTGGGAAAAAAACAAACAAAAAAATAAACAAAAAATATTTACCCGAGTTATTTTATGGAACGCTATCCCACAACATTAAAAATTACTGTGCATAAGTGTTCTTTTTAACTTATTTTCTAAGCATGTACCATGCTGGCGGCCAGATCAGAAACAGTCTTCACAAAATAATAGCTTTGCCAACTTCCCCTTTCACACGATAAAAAAATACGTTGTCTTTATACAAACAAACACTTTACCTCAGATGTGCCCTTAAATAACCTGCACAAACCATCTAATTATTCCTTCTGCAGTCAGTGTGATTCATAAGATTATAAAAGATAACCATATATGTCAAGTCTAGCCACATTCAGACAGTAGCAACGGCAAGATAAGCAGATAGCAATGGAGAGAATACAAATTAAGTTAAGATCTTAACTCAAAATAAGCCAGTCAAAGTAACTGGTGTTCTATGTTCCCCTCATAAAAACCTAACTATTACGCATAATGCATGTAAAGTCAACTGCAGTGAGATTCAGATAATTGCTTAACTTACTAACTCTTGCTCTGAAACTTAAGCAGAAACCAGACTTTAGTCCTAAAGGGAATCTCTTCAAAGATTTACTTCTCAGTTGAGTGTGTAAGCAAGGGGTAGGACAAGATGACCTCCCAATACAAGTGATTCTCTGGTTACCTAATAACACTACTGTGTACAAGTCAAAATAGTCCAAAAATATTCCTGATGCGCGATTTTATTTAAGATCAAGAGAGTTCATTAAAGTCATATTTTCCAACACGTTTTCAATGTATCGATGACCTAGGAAAACACAGACTCAAATAATACAGACAGAAGTTACACTATACTACACATGTCAAAAAAGTGTACTTTTGGCTTGAGACTTTTTTAAACTGTAATGTCTTGCATGCCTTGAACACTAATAGTGTAGTTGAGATTCCCTTAGAGAGTGTTCAAGATGTTTCTTCTTAAAAAGTTCCTTTTAAAGTTATATAACCCACCTTGTACTCTCAGGTATATACAAGCACAGATTTGTGGACCTCATTGAATGTTCTGGTTTGGTGGGTTTTTTAGTAGCGGGGGAAGGGCCCCAGGAGCGGCTCTGGTAAGAAGCTCCCCCTGCTCCAAACCCAGCCAAGGAGCCAATAGAGGGACAACAGATGCACCTCAGCGATTAGCATACAAAAGAACAGCTGTAACACCTGAGCACACTTAAAGAAAAAGAGAAGAGCTGTGCTGGGGAAAGAGAGCGGTGCTGGTGGTTGGTGAGGAAGAAGAGGAACAAGGTGCCCAGCGGAAGTTTCCCTGCAACCCATGGCAGGATGGCAGCTGTGCCCCTGCACTCACGGAGGAGCGTGGTGGAACGTTCCCTGAAGGTGCCAGGAGGGGTGAACTTGGCCAGTGGACTTGGATTTTGTGGCCAGAGGATTTGCTGCCTGTGGACTCCGACTACGCAGCTTTGGAAGACCCCGGCGCCTCGTGGCAGGGTCTCATGGGAACCTCGCAGGAAGGACTCATGAAGGAGAGGTTCGTGGAGGACTCTCTCCTATGGGAGGGACACCATGGAGAAGCAGGGAAGGACTGTAAGGAATCTTTCTTCCTGAGGAGGAAGGAGAGGCAAGACCCCCCAGCCTGTGAAGTGACTCTAAACCCCATCCCCTGTCCCCCTGTGCCGCTGGGGAGGAGGAGGGAGAGAAACTGGGAACAAAGTGATTTGGGCCTGGGAAGAAGAGAGAGGTGGTGTAACATATGTAAGCTCTGCTCTTTGTATTGTCTGTGTCCTGTGTGTGTTTGATGAGTGTGAAATTACATTATTATTTTTTTCCCCAAATTGAGTCTTTTTTGCCCAGGACTTTAATTAGTGAAAAACCCTCCCTGTCCTTTTTCTTAACCCATGAGTTTTGTCCTCCTCATCCCAGCTTGTGGGGGGGGGGGGGAAGCTGAGTCAGCAGCCACAGGGCTGGTTCTTTGTTGTCACGTTGGGCCAAAACCATGACACTGAAGAAACGACAGTCTTGTTTTATCATCACTCTATTATCACATGAAAACCCACTAAAAATTAAGTTATATTTAAGGACCCTCAGGAACTACTTACTTCTGCAAGAGAGAGTTTTTGAATTTTTCAGCATTCAGTTCTATCCGTAGCTGCTCTGCGCTCTTTTTAGCAGCAGAGAGAAGCACTGAATGCTTGACCAGTGCCACAGCTGAAGGCCTTTTCTCTGGATCAGGATTAATCATAACCTTGGAAAAAAGAAAACAAAGCATTCTAGTTAAGGCCAGTAATATAGTAAGTTACACTAATCAGTGAGCCACTGGTACAAGAGTTCTTACTTTTAGTAAGTCTAGTAATTCTTGAGAAAGCACTTGTGGTATTCTAGGTAGTTTTCCTTGTCGTATTTCATGCCATTGGTCCCCATTAGTTGGAAGTGGTTCAGCCCCAGCAGCACAGACAACAGTCAGAGCAAGAGCAAAAATATCTGCTTTTGGCAAATGAGCATAGTTCTTGAAAAAATAAAGAAAAACATATTTACTAAACATACCACTCAGTGTAAGAAGAAATCTAACACCTAAACAGCACTGAACACAACCTCAATACTACATTCCCCTGTAAGTACTGCTAGTGTTGAAGAGGGTACCATTTAGAAAGCTTCTCCTCCAGCAAGGAGGCAGCAGACAGCAACTTGTTACTCTAAAGAAAACAGTACACAGACCTAACATCACTATGTTCCACAAACAGAACAGCTACCTCTTGTAGGACTTCATTTGCAAGAAAACGGCTATCACCTTCCTCCACTTGTGGACTAGACACTCGAGTTACATGACCAAGGTCACCTGCAAATACAAGAGAGTTATTTTTTCAGACAACAAATACACAGAGCAATTCTTCTAAGCACAGGTGTGCTGCTTCTCACCTATTTTAAATATGACTCTATCAGATGACCAGTCATCATCATCAGCTTCTTCTGAAGTCGTACTTGGGACTGATGTCCTAGATATGAAAATATTACCTGAAAAAGAGCAGAATTGTTAAAAAACCCACTTTTGTGCCATTTCTGCTTCAACTAGTTTCATTATGGTTTGCTTTATCCACACAAGTTTTATTTGTATACATGAAGAGTTCCTAGAGTAAGAAAGTGTAACTTGCTCTGGCCCCTCTGCTGGGAGGAGAGCCAAGAGCCAAGATAAAACAAGTTTAACTTTGCTAGCCAATTTTATAACTGACATCTTTGTACTGCTATTCAGAACTTCAGTGAAGAATTTACAGTTAGTAAGGTGTGGCTAACCGCTCAATTTTCTACCACAGATTAAATTAACTGAGGAAACTGTCAATACAGAGCAAAGCAGTTGACGCACTTACTAGGTTTGATATCCATGTGTACCAGTGACATTGAATGAATGTATTTTAAGCCTCGAGCCACCTGAAGTAGCAGGTCCTTCAGCTCTGGTTCAGTAAAATAACGCATATTCCTGTAATTTTCACTTATGGCATCTGCTAAACTGCCACCTTTAACAACATTAAAGAAAACAACTAATTATTTTACATCAAACAGTTGAAAAACTAATAACTTGCTTTCAAAACTAAGTACAACTGGCTTCCAAAATGAACTACAAACACATCACCAAGAAGTTGCTGGTGATACACAGGAATTATACAATCTAGTGCTGTATCCCCTCTTTATAGCCATGCAATATAATAAAATTATATTTCTGCTGTAGTTGCCACACAAATTAACAGGATAGCAAGACAAAGGAAAAGACCTCTCTCCCTCTTCCACATCTCTGGCAATGGCAAACCATGGCAAAAAGCTTCAGTAATCAGGTCCATCTCCCTTTTGAAAAGGAAATTCTCTGATTTCTTTATGCTAGCTTGTACTACTGTGCAGAAGAAAGAACAGTTATGCTGCTGTTAAATGCCTTATCATACCTCCAATATTCTTGAACACTTAAGACTTTGACAGCAATTTTGTATAGTTTTTGCTTCATATCTCTGCTATGCCTTTTCCAACGGAAAGGAACATCAGTAACAATTTGATACAATGATGGTATGAGCTATATGTAGGGCAATAATTTTGTAACTAGTTCTATGGATTTTTAAGAAATATACCAGAATCTTCAAAAATTATTTTTGAAAGTTTAGACAAGCAATAATCTTTACTTACCATTGCAATACTCATTCTGTATAAGCATGTGATCATCTTCTGCCCATGCAGAGTAGTATCTTACTACATGAGAATGCTGTCCCAAAACTGCATGTGCATAGACCTCTCTTAAAGCATTTTGCCTATTACAGTCAGAAAAAAATAACAGCACACAAAAACATTATGAGGTGAAATTACAGCTTGAGAGAAACATTTATTGTAATACCACACCCCTGTGCCAGCTCAGGTTTCTAATTAAAATCTTCATATTCAGTTCTATGGCATCTCAGCATGGATTTACATCCAAACAGATAAAATAATTTACATTGTATTAAAAGACTACGCATATGGAACACTGAAGAACTTCTCGTGTTTAAGTCTGGTATACAATTTTGAATAACTCAAACTTGTGGAGGTTTATATCATAATTATTCCAACAGTGGGGGAAAAGTCATGAATCACAGGCTCATTCACAAATGCCAAAAAACACCCCACAGCTGTCTTAACTAATCTGCATGTCATTAAAGTTGACAAGAATAAGGACACAATTGGGAACATTGCTTTCATATCTCACAGGATCATCACTGCACAGTTTGTTCATATTGTCCCTTCTCCCATTAATGCAAATAAGAATTATTGTGACTTTCTAGATGACAAGAACCTGTTTCCACACAGAATATCAGGACAAATGTCTGCTAGAGAAAGGACAAGTAGCTTTTCCTCACTAGTATTGCACAGTATACAGGAAAAAAAAAAAGTTATGTGACTTCAAAATAGCATCTGTTTTACATTTAACTCATGAATATGCACACTTTTCTCTTAATACCTTCTCAGGCAATTACCAATACAGAGAGACATGGGAGGAAAAAGCAACAAGAGTTGACTTTTAATAGCCGGAAATACTCACTCATCCACTGAGCCAGCTAAGGGTTTCTTGGATCGCTTTATTGCATAAACACAGCCATCAAGCCTCTTCACACATTTAAACACAGAACCAAATTCACCAGATCCAATCTTCTCCAACTCATGAAATTCAGTTGCATAGCGTGACTTCATATTACTCTCTGTTATAGTTATCCTCTGCAAAGATTAGAAAGGAACATGCTTAGGTGTCCACATACACTAACTGACAAGCTTAGTATCAAGTTCTGAAGACTAATTACCTTAGCAGGTCTGATAGTTTCATCTTCAGGCTCTCCATCACTTGCTTCCATATCTTCTCCATAAGAGCTGAAATTGACACCAGTTACTTTTGCAGAAATAATATGGCTTAAGTAAACTTAAAACTGAAGTCTAGCAGCTGTTGATTTTTTAGTTTAACTGAACATTATGACATTTTTAAGAGCAAATTTATAAAACAAAGGCACCATACTCGTATCTTTGTAATTTCTTTCTTCATGTTTCATGCTATCATTTAATATCTTTTTCCCCTCCTTAAGAAAAGACTGTGTGTATATGGTTAAAAGACTAGGACACAGCCTGGTCTATTGCTCTCTGTATACTAATCAAAACATCTAGTGCTAAATAGTTCCTTCATAACATCATGCACCTCAAAGCAAATAATTTAAGAGCTATATTATGCATCACTAACAGATTTGCAAGGAAAAATACTTTTATAGGAGCTATCTGCAACGTAACTTCTGCAGCTGAAAGTAGTTCTAAAGGTAAGCTTAACAAAAGAAGCTATAAGCTACTCACTCATTCCAGTGCATTCTCTTCCTCCTACGACATTTTCCTTCAGAACTATGAAGGAACATGGAATCAGGAGTGAAGGGATTGATGTTCACATGAGGTGTTTGTCTAATATCTTCTTCTTGCTTCTCTGATTTCCCAACATTCATAAATAGAGAGCCCCCTCGAAGTTTGACTGCGCTGGAGCCTATTCCTTGAGCTTTAGAAAGCAAACTCTAGATTTATTAAAAAAAAACAAAACAAACAAAGGAACAAAGGACATTTATAGCCTTTATATTGAGCTTATATATATAGCATTTATATTAAATGAATAAAGGATATTTATAGCCTCAATATTGCTTTAGACATACAAGCCATCATAACAATATTATCTAATCAAAGTTAGCCTAAGTTGTTTAAATACCTACATTTCCATTAAAAAAAAACCAAAAACCCAAAGAAACGATTAGGTTTTACACTCCACAGTTAAAGGAAACACTGAATGTTAAAATAATTTTTAAAAGACAGGAAAGAGCACCACTTTTCTGTCTTTTATCATGACACCATGTAAACTTCTTAGACTATTATTTGCCCATGAAAGAAACACAGATGAAACTCATGGCCCATCCTGTGCAGCATCACCGTGATTTTTACGTAGAAGGTACCGAAGTTAGATCAGACACAGGAAGTTATCCTTGGTGACTACAAACTTAGGCAGCAAGCTAAAAAATAAGTAAATAGAAAATTTACACAGACACCTCTTTGTGAGCCTACACAGCACTGCTCAAGAGTTGACAGCACTGTTGCTCTGTCTGCTCAACATCCCAAACAGATCTTCTGGGTGGTAATTTGTCAGACTGGGCATTTTCCAGGCACATGATGAAACCTCTCCCAGTCAGATATGGGAGTTTGCACCTGAGTCACCTACAACCCGGTAAGGATGCCTACCAGTGACTTACAGGGTGATAAGCAGCAGTGTTGCCTTATCCTAGCAACACTTTACAAAATAAAAAACTGATGTAACTAAAGCCTAAGCCAGCATAGGGGCAGGATCAGTACTTGGGAATCTCAACTGCACTCTCCAAACCTGGACTAGATGAAGAAGAGCTTTAATTCACTGTGTGTCTCAATACAAATTTCAGTACCTTCACTGGATACCTTAACCAATCAATTATTCCAGGTTGCAAAGATAACCTCTCCAAGATAACCCATGAAGAATCTGGACACCTAATTTAAGAATCCAACTGAAACACAGCATTAATACCTTGCTTTTAGTGTTACAATCCACAAGCCTCTTGCATTTCTCAAGTGTCTGATTCTGACTTGGTAGAAAATCATCACCAATTTTGCTATTTCCAAGTATGTACCACTGACTTCCACCCGTGAAATCTCATTTTAGATGGAAGCTGTAGAAAACCAATTAACAAGGTTGCCTTCCTTCCACCTTAAATCAGTGATTTTAATCTACAGTCTATAGACCCTGGGAGATTATCCACGGGGATTATCCCCAGATTACTTCTAAAGGGCTATATGAAAAGTAACGAAGAAAGCAAGCCCATGATCACTAGACTTAAGTTAAGTACGGTGTTTTACAGGAGCGTCAAGTTCAAAAGTTGAAGTGTCTTGCAAAAACTCTGGTACTGATAAAATCAAGGCCTACCTAACCCTTTAAGCTTTCGAATCCCTCAGTTTAAGAGCAGCGGCTGCCCAGCCAGCCTGCTGGCACTGGATGCAGGAGTGCAGACACCGACCTTGTGCTGACACACAGCACAGCAGCAGCACTCACCAGACTTCTACTGACCGACACGCAGAAGCGAATTCCCATTCAAACTTTTACTTTTATGGTTATAAAAAAAAGTACTAATGCCCACAAGAGACCAAAATACGTATTTGAAGAGTTTAATATACTACTTGCACCTCTGCAAAAATCTTTTCTACAAAAGACAGCCCAAGCGGGGGACTTCTACGTTTAGAGACAAAAATGGCACTTATCAGAAAGCACAGAGTTGTGTTGATAAAGGGTACGCTATACGCATCAGGGGTGGCTGCTCCCCACCGCGGTTACCCGGGGACCAGACGCCGAGCGGCCCCGCGGAGCGCCCCGGGGCCCGGCCGGGCT